GGGGGCATTCAACAAAAGGAGGCTCTGAGAAAAGTGAGCAGAAAGAGAGCATAGGGAATGTCTCAGGGGGTTACAGATTGGAAACCTGTATGTTTCTCTAACCTATTTTGAGATATATGGTTTGAAAGTATTTTCTCCCATTCTGTAGGTTGCCTTTTCACTCTGTTGTTTCCTGTATGCAATAGATTGAGAGGAAAAATTTCCAGCACACATAATAACCAAGGAAATAAATTCAGAATATAGAAATAACTCATACAAATTAATATAAAACAGAAAAATTATCCTAAGAAAACTGGACAAGTGTATGGGCAGGCCTTTTACAACAGAAGATATTCATGTAGCAAACGTGTAAAATGAGATGCCAAACTCATAAGTATTTGGAGAACTACAAGTAAAATAAACAATTTGATATCATTTTTGCCCTTTAATTTGGCAAATATTAAAACCAACAGTTTTATGATATTAAATACTAGCTGAGCTTCATAAGAGATATTTGTATAGACTACAGTGGGAGTATCAGTTGGAGTAGTTCACTGGAGTTACACTTTCCATAACTATTACAACAAAAATGACATACTCTCTGTCTCAATAATTAAAATGTTCACTTTAACTCATCAAATACTTGTATGTGCACACAAGGAAAATTATTAAAGCAGGTCTACGGCAGCATTTATAGTTAAGGAAACATTAGTTAATCCAAATGTCTAACATTAAGAGGAGAGATACATAAACACTGACATCTCACTTAAGGAATATGCGTAAGGGAAAGAGAAGGGCTCAATGTCAAGGATGTGACCTTCAATGAACATGCACTTTACCTCCACCGGGTGTCACTCATGGAAGCAAGAGCAGGCAGAGGCTGACTCAGAATCTGGTCACTGCCGTCTCCAGCATCACCATTATCATCTTCAGTATCTAATTACAAGTTAACAAGAGTCCCTGCCCCTGGTATCTGATTGGTCTGTCCTCATGCAAATGAAGGATCCAAAAGGCACTGATCTGATTGGCCAGAATCGAGCTGCTCTGATTGGTCAGAGCTGTGTAGCTGATTGGATGGGAAAGCCTCAGTCTTACTGGCTGAGAGAGGGTTCCAGGAAACCTTTATAAGGGCTGGCTCAGGGGCAGGGACACAATGCAGGCAGGCAGTTGAGTGCAGTGGGTTCTCTGCAGGATGCAGTTTGCCTGAGAGGCCCCTGTACAGAAACGGCTACAAGGTTATGATTTTTTAAAAAATTCGAGCTCAATTAGCCACCAGGAGCCCTAGTTAGTAGGTGTTTTGTTGTTGGTGGTGGTGTTTTGCTTTTTTCTGTCAGGGTTCGCATTACCCAGGTCCATTTACAGCAAGAACAACAGCTCCATCCCTCCCACCCCCTAACCCGCTGTGTTACCTGCGGCCTCTTAGGCCTCTTTTGTGATGAGAGGCTCCTTTATTCATCCGCCTTTTCTGCATATGGTATAAGCTCTGGCATGTCTGTATCTGTATCGTAGCTTGATTTCGTATTTATGTGTCTATGTTAGAAATTCAGTTTGGCTTCTAGTCAAAGAAACCTGAAATAACAGTAAGCTAGAGGATTAATTTTGTTTCCTTCTGCCTCTTCCAGTGGCCACTGCTACCAGCCAAAGGTACACATGTCCCTGGTAGTTTTGCAGGGGCTGCACAGGAGGGAAGCAGAATCTTAGAGCCCCAGGTGGAGGGCTGAGCAGAGTAGGGCAGGGCAGGAGCTGAGAGGTAGAATAGTCTGGACACTGGGGGGGCCCAAAGCAGACTGGGCCGGGCCTCTGGGCAGAGACATTTCCTCCAAGAGCAAGGGGCCAGATGACTTTGAACATAGATGTCTAACATCTTGATATTAGACAAAGTTGATATTAGACAAAGTTGATATTTGTTTTTCCAAATATTTATTGTTCCTTTGAATTCTCTACTTTGTCATTTAAAAAAGTAACTATTGCCCATTAGTCTCTGAGCTCTCCTATTGATGACATAGGATTTTGAAAATTATTAACTTGAGTAGTTTAGTCATTCATGTTCCCAGCAAGTCCTACAAATTTTGTTGAGTATTTTATTTATTATGTAAATTATTATTCCCTTCTAGGAGAATGGCATGATTTTTCATAATTCACCTCTTTTTCAGTATTTTGTGCTACTACTCATTTTGTAGTTCTATTCATATGGGTCTTGAATAATTGTTATTCAGGTGATTTCTAAATATTTCATGTTTAGTAGCTCTTATGTAAAGGGCCGTTTCTACTCATAAATTCAACCCAGAGTTTGCTTAAATATAGCCCATGATCAATTCAGAGAATTTTCTAATTCTAACTATTTTCAAATAAATTATTGTATTTTTTTTTCTTTACTAAGTCTATAAATGTGTTATTTAAAAATTAAATCTACACCAAGAGTTTTTTAATGGTTAAATATTATGGAAACTCAGACACAATCCTGTGTGCAAGTTATCACATTCTTGAGTTTTCCTATTATTTTTTCCATTTTAGCAGTTATTTTGTTTATGAAGCTTATCTGTGCAGGCATTAGGGGATGCCAAAGGTATAAATAAAAATATATTTTACATACAATTAAGAGCATGTTGAGCATAATATTTTTGTGCATTGCAAAGAAAAGAACTGCTCTCTCTTCATTTTCTTAAAAAACAGAACCCTTATTTATGCACCTCTGATGCTAGTCCTCTACGGGAACACAGTCTGACAACCATTGACTCTCTCTTGTACACCGTCAAGTACCCAGTGTCTGCTTTGCCTCTTCTGTGAAGCCTTAACAGATTTCTTCACCTAACATGGATTTCTTCTTCTGTGTCTGGAATGATCACTGTGTTTTATCTCTGACTGTAGATACAATCAACTAGTTATCTTAAAAAAAAAATACTGATGTGGAAATATGCAGAAATTCAAAATTAGTTGCTCTATTGTCTTGTCCTGGCAGCATTTTAAAAGGTGTGGATCCCCGAATTTGCCTTCAGTCATGCCCTGTCTACTGGTTTCTCTTGTGTTGAGGGTCAGCATTACCATCCAAGTTCTCAGGTGTCTCTGCTTCTGTCTCCAATTCAATTCTGAGAGGAGAGAAGGCAGAGGCTAAAGTTTATTTGTCTATTTTTCACAGGACTGGGGCAGTGTTGGTCCCAGATTAAAGGCCCAGATGTGGTTGAAGTTATTTGTTATGATAACTGTTCCTGTAGCGCATGATCTCATCCCTATTTCCGTGAGACTCTCATCTGAGCTTTGAGTGCCACGGTTGCAACATTGTATTAGTGGGGAGACATGGGGTGACAGGAGGACATTCCTAGAGAGAGGTACCTGCCAGGAAACTCTTTTCCCACCTCTACCCCAATGCCGGCGTTCTGAGTTGGTAGCAGAAGTTGTCACAAAGGCAGTTAGTTCCTGGTCCTTCAGGGGTAGAAATCCAAGCTTGGAAATGAGTCATCCCCATGCCCTTGTTATCAAATCTGTCATCAACACCGGCATCAGCTTTATCATTATGAGACATATATTTCCTAAGACAGGTGTTTCTAGAAGTGCCTTGTGAGAAGACGAATAAAAAATATATCTTAGGAAATATATAAAAAGAGTTGGCTACCAGAGGGAACTTTCTGTAAGTGGGAACATCCAACACTAAATTTTCTCTTCCTAGGTATCAATGGTCTGGGACAGAAGGAAATGTTTTTGGTTTTGTGGGGTTTGTTCTTGCCTTTGTTTTCTTCAATCGTTTGTTTTGAATTGTGAGAAGAATTCCTTCTGTACACTCGTTTTCTTGTATGTTGAGAAGGTTCGCTTTCTACAATGGTTACCGCAACGTGTGCGTGCCCATGTGCGTGCGTGTGCATGTATGTGTGCGCAAGAGAAAGACGCGTTGAGGGAGAAAGGAGGAAGGAGACAGATGCCGATGGTCCAGCAACTTCCAGAAAAGTAGCATCTGGCCTGGCCAGGGGCTAGTGTGACAGCGTCACAGCCTTTCTAAGATGCAAGTCTTCTGAATTTAAATAAAAAAAAAAGCCTTGTTTTTCCTCCTGCCCACCTGCCTTGAGTCTTTTTCGAAGGACCGACTGCAGCC